GATGTACAAGATCAAATAAATAATACACAATTGATTTAAGGATACTCAGTTTCGCTTTCCTTGAATATTGTATTAGTGGAAATCGTGTGTGCAGTATATATTGAAGAAATCACTTCGTGTGGTATCGTAATAAACAGATAAATACAAAATGTTTACTGTTTTCAGCTGGCCATTGTAAGTACAATGCACTGAATCAGATCTTATCTCCAGTTACTTTGTCTTTTCTAATGTAAGGATAATTTTCACTGAACATTTTTATTAGAAAATGTTTTTTTTTTCTATGATTTTATAGTTGAAAGTTGGGGCGGTGGAGTAACCTAGTGGTTAAAGCGTTCGCTCGTCACGCCGAAGACCCGAGTTCGATTCCCCACATGGGTACAATGTGTGAAGCCAATTTCTGGTGTCCCTCCGCCGTGATGTTGCTGGAATATGGTTAAAAACGGCGTAAAACTGAACACACTCACTCACTAGCCGAAACTTGGACGGGTTCGTAGAGAGTTTCTATGCAGTCCTATGGATACTGCAGGTTTGTGGTTGTAATCGCTGGACTATAATTGTTTACGCCTTGTATTGCATGGAGCGAGATCAGAATGAAATGAGCGGTACCGTTAGGCTTGAACATTAAATAATGCGTTCACCTAGTGCGTTTAGCTACAGGGGCAGACCAGCATACCAGCAAAGTCTTCTTTTCAAACTTAAATTTAGATATTGTGCAAGGTTTACATGAGAAATTCATAAGTTACGACACTTGTCTCCATTAGATACCGTTTATATTGGAACGTGTGTACTTCAAAACGCATTTAGCCATCGACTGACAGGTTATAAAGGTTTTGTAATAAACTCGTTCAAAAAGAAACGCCATGCAACGGGGACTTGTAAAGTGTTCTGTACTTAATATATACGTAAGTGTGACACTTTCAGTTATATGTAATCAGATGTAATATATTTTTGCCAACAGAATGTGAACCGGTAACATCACTTGCTTGAAAATAATAAGGAAATCAGTAAGTTCATGGTCCTGGGATGACGGAGTTACCGTTCTTGAAAGTTGTCTCCCGTAGTTCGTCTGCCGAGCAAACCAAAACAAAACAAGATGCGTGACAACCGCACGTCTTGTGATGTGTTATCGAGTTTGATTTGATTGAGACTGTGGACATAACTATTGAAGATGCTAAAACATACAGAAAAAGGCTTGAAAAAATCACGAGTGATGATGTGAATCTATTTATTATGCAGCATCAAAATGAAAACTAAGAGAAAAGTGGTAGGAATCCACCGAGAAGTTGATATCTGATCAGTCAGATCAGTCAGTGTAGAAAGTCTTCTTGTCTGTGAGGCGGAATGATAGTTGGAAGTACTAGCCATAATCACGTAGAAGAAGTCATTCATCAAATCAACGTTATCTGAGAAAAAAAACCCTATTGCATACTATGGCATAAACAGCATGGTAGATACCGGCTTGAATCCTAAGTAACATTCAAATCGAAATGTAAGTTTCTAAGATCAGAGGGCAACATATCGCAGGCAAGTGATGCGGTAGCTGACATGGATGACAACACGTATGCTCCTGAAACTCACACAGAGGGTTTGGAAAAAATCAGGAGCGAGGATGTGTAACTATTTTCGTCTGAACGCGTGCAACATGTGACTAGGCATTATCCTGCTGCAGTATGGCGCTACGCTCAAGCAGTTATATAAAGGGTAGTAACAAGAGTTATTTCTTCAACAATCATTGTAAACCAAAAGTCACTGTGTTCTTTAATCTGATTGGTTGAAAAACGTGATCAAATGGTATTTGATTCCCGGAAATTCGCTGCGTATTAATACATACAAACATCGCTCACACCATTGTATTGTTACGTCATCAGCTGTGATGACGTCATTAAAATCATATTGTGACGTAAAGTCCGAATGACGTCACAAATGAGCAGCTCCAGATGCTACCATGGGAGACAGACGAAACGGCCGGCTGATGACATTTCACTGCTGTACCCGTACTCGATGTCAATGAGTGCAGACACAAAAACGTGTGTGGACCTTTTGCTTTACTTTTGTGTTTACAATGTCGATAAACATCATGTGTTGGCCAATTTCCGGGTGTTATTGAGTATTTGAAGCACGGGAATATTTCATTTGAAACCTCCGGCTGACGCCGTCGGTTCCAAATGAATTCCCGTGCTTCAAATACTCAATAACGCCCGGAAATTGGCCAACACATGACGTTTATCTCCTAAGTGATGGTACTTGGCGCCATAACATTGCCACTAAACTGACGACGTTTATAATAATAATAATATATAGAGATTTATATAGCGCCAATATCCAGATGTGTCCTGCTCAAAGGCGCTTTCGTATGAGTCTGACAAGGAAAGTGTCACTGGGAATTGTAACATGATTTGAAATGATTTCCTCTGTACTTTTAATGCCCAATGGGATGTTGTTCCAAAGCATAGGACCTGCTTTTGAAAAACATCTGTCTCCAAATGTCTTCGTCCCCGTACACGGCACAATTAGTAGCTGGGCACTACTAGAACGTAGTGAACGGGACGGTTGATGGCACTGGATCAGTTCGTTGATGTACGATGGGCCGATACCGTGAACAGCTTTGTATACAAGCACAAGAATCTTAAATTCTATCCGTTTGACCAGTGCAGCTGCATCAGAACTGGAGTTATATGCTCATATTTGCCAGTTCGAGAGATAACACTAGCAGCTACATTTTGTTCGTTGTTTTGGTAACCCAACCAAGAGAGCATTGCAATAATCCAGACGGGACAACACGTATGCCTGGATGAGTGATGCAGCCACACGTGTGTTTATATACTTCCTTATAAGAGCAATGTTCCTGATATGGAAGTATGCTTGTTTGCAGATTTGACTGATATGGTCTTCAAGTCTCCAATTTTGAAAGCCGGCAGTGAGAGATGTCGCAAATTGGATTTTTGACTGAAAATGAGAAGCTCTGTCTTGTCATCATTAAGCTTCAAAAAGTTGATAGCCATCCACTCACGGATATCAGAAACACATTGAGATGTCACAGCAAAGGACAATTCAACTGATGTGGTCTAAAAGATATGTACAATTGGGTGTCATCTGCATACAGATGGAATTGCAGATTATATTTTCGTATGACATCCCCAAGAGGTGAAGTGTACATTGTGAACAGGATCGGACCAAGGACTGATCCCTGTGGAACTCCGAAGAGCAGTTCTTCTTTCTTTGATCTTGGGCCATCAATGTGAACGGATTGGGGCCGTCCAGAGATATAGGACTCCAAGATATAGCCTTGTCGGTGATAGCAAGTCTCTTTTCCAGTGTATGAAGAAGCACTCTGTGGTCGATGGTATCAAAAGCGGAGGAAAGATCTAATAACACAAGAATGGCAGCTCCATCATTTGCGTTTAGTTACGCAAGCTTCGAAAAACATTCTCTGGCATGCTTGTAGACCCTTGAATGGCCACCAGAGATGTCCAAATGAAACGTGTAAGTATGGTAAGTCGTAGGCGTTTCCCAGCTGTAGACAACGTTGATGTTGTGTTTGAATGAACACTTAAGTGTCTGAGTACCTTGTTTAGCGCCGTGTCCGTTTGCCGCATACATGTCACGTGTTGGAACTGATCTTCAGAAATTCATTCCTGTCGTAAGACTCAACTAACGGAATCGGACTGTCAGGCTAGCTGGCGTGGTTGATGCATGTCATCGTATACCAGTTGCGGAAATCAATGTCAACCTTTGGATTGTCTGGCTACGGAAACGATTTACAGACCGCCGTAATATACCTGGAATGGTACCGAGTGTAATGTAATGATGCGTCAAAGAAAATGAAAGTATTTAACCCTGAAAAATATCAAAAATGTGAACATTGAATAAAGCATGCAAGGTCCGACATATGTAGCATATTTAGGATGCTGTAATATCATTTCTCTGCACCTGTATGTCATAATGTGTGTTTTATTCATTCTAACGAGAACAAACATTTGTGTTGAAATAGAGCTTGTGCTAAAACATTATTTCATTTTTCTTAAATTACCTGGATATTCACATTGGTTAATGTTAAAATATGTCAACGATGTATAAATTGACGTGTTTGGGAGTGTTTTCCAGTGTGTTAGATAAAAGAGGGGTTGTCAGCCTCAATATGATCTCCTTGCGGTACAACCCTGTTTCAAAGACTGGCATTGAGTGTGACGCTGTGACTAAACAAGCGCTAAGGATCCATCTCCTTTCGATTCTCAGGGGTTTGTTCTTTTTTCAACCGCAGAAAGCTGTGACACACATGCAAGTCGCCATGCTCCTGTAGCACGAGATCTATCTACGCATGTTCATTTGGATTCATAATATATTCTCAAAGGGCGATATTCTGCACCTTTCAAATTGAAAGTAAAGCAAGATTTATGTATGTCAACTTCTTTATTGTGAATAACACGACGTTTCGGAGTATATCCTTGCTCCTTCATCAGCTGCTGAAGCATACAGTCCGTCGTGTTATTCACACAATGACATCCATAAATCTTGCTTTTCTTATGCAATTCACTTCTAGATGTCCTGAAATTGTGTTTTGACAGATCTTGTGACAATTTTATTCGTTGATATTTCGTGTATAAATATGTTGCATGCAATAAAAGGAACTGGAAAAAGTCAATTTATTCTTATTTTTAAATTTGGCGTTTTCAATGTCGCCAGAATCGTAAATCAAGAAATTAATAATAAATCGCCCTATCAAATCGGCCGTTCGCCAATACAATCAGTGACAATGTCAATATATGTTTGTCACCTGAAGGCGTCCAAACCAACTGTCAGCAATACATAAAGCGACCAACAATCGTCAACAAATATTGAAAGTTCTAAATAAAGATTTTGCACTTCCTGCTTCGTTAATATTTATTTATTTATTTATTTATGTATTTATGTATTTATTTATGTATTTATTTTTATTTATTTTGTATTTATTTATGTATTTATGTATTTATGTATTTATGTATTTATGTATTTATGTATTTATTTATTTATTTATTTATTTATTTGATATTATGTACGTCGTTTTTAACACAAAGCATAAACTAATCTTTTTGTAGATCATGGGTGGAGTGATGGCAAGACAAGCATCTTTGAATCTGCTATCAAGTTTGAAAATGGAATGTACTCTAACAAACACCTCGAATAATATATTCGAATAAACACGTAAAACACCACTGATAACGTTTGACACTTAATGTATAAAACACGAGAAGTAAACTAAAATTAACACACAAAATGGTATGTCCTTTGGGATTAATTTTAATTCACCTTTTTCAGATAACGTTATCACTTAACAATGTGTTGGCAAACATATTTACCCAGAGTTTACGTCAGTGTTATTGTACCCTCCATGTCAACCTGCAGGCGAGTACCCAGATACAATTGCACGCAGCAGATGTGCACCTGTTATCTGATTGGTTTATCAAATGTATATGGTCATCGTCCAGTACAATTTGAAATGTTTATGATTTACTATGAAAATAATTCAGATGAATATATATACATATGAAATGAATTTATATAAGTATATAATGAATGTTACTTTTTTATCCCCATAGGTAACTTAGTGATTATACTTAGCATTAAACAGAAGCATGTGATTGTTGCGATATGACATATTGTTGTTTGTGCACGAAGTGCCCGCAGCCAGGCTTCTGATGCATCTATCTACCTACAAGCTGTGTCATTGTCTTGGCGGACCCTAGATCTCAAGGGTCTGTTCCTATTGTTAAGGCATAACGTCTTCGTAGAATACCGTTCCGCACCATCAAAGTATTCATTAAATAAAGTGAAAGTTTAAGTGCGTTAGCTGAATGTTATTGGATCACGTTTCCATGTATGAATCGTCGTGTGTAGATCAAAAGGCACGGTGAGCATCTGCGTAGTTGGCTATGTTCCACGTGGTATACATTCTGTGTCTGAGGCAGCTAGAAGATAGGTGGGACGACTCACTGCCTCCATTGTCTCTGATAACGTTGTGTATCTTGATGTGTTGCTGAGAGACATCTAACTATGGACACACCATGCCGTAGTTAAACAATAGTCTTGTCTGTCTATGTGTATCGCATCCAGGAGCGGACCCAGGATTGGGGGTGCACATATATGTTGAAGTCCAAAGGTTAGGGGGAAATGCTCCTCAGGGAATGCACCCCCAGCCCCCACCCCCCTCTGGATCCACCCCTGGTATCCATGTTAGTTATATTGGATATAGAACAACCACGCCGATATGATGCTATGACTGATATACCATTTGATACGCGTCACCTCTATGTTGTAATTTGAATAACGCCTGAGGTCAGTGGTCGGCACAATTTAAATTTTGGTTAATACTCAGACACAAGACTGTTACCAGTTTGTCTTCTTTATTTCACACTTTGCTGTATAATTATGAAATCCCGTTCACGAAAATTGTTTCACAACTTTGTGTGTTTTTCACTGATAGGCTGCACCTGATTGTGCGGAATTCCATTATGTTTTGTCAGTCCATTTGTTTTGAAGTCACTTTCATCAAAGTCCTCCAGCTCTGTGCAGTCTGGGACCAGAAACCCTTTGTTGGTCTCGGCTTTCTTCCTCAGCAGCTTCAGACGCCGTATTCGCTGGTCTCGAGCGGCCAGATTCACGTGATATGCCGTGAAGTTGGAGGCGATGATGGCCACTGGCATGGCCAGGAGAAGAATGCCAGACAGGGAACAGAGGACTCCAACGATGTAGCCCGGGGCTGAACGGGGATGGTAGTCTCCGTACCCGACTGTTGTCATGGTAACGACTGCCCACCATATCGCAATTGGAATGTTGTCAAACGTATCAACACCCATAGCAATCTCCACAAAATATATCACTGTTGCGAATATTACAACCGCTATAGTAAGTCCTACACACAGTAACATTAACTGCCCAAAGCTAGCCCGGAATGTAAGAAGAAGGATTTTCATCATAGCATATTGCCTGACGAAATGAAACAGTCTAAGCACATTAAGCACAAACAGAGCTTTAAGCACATGGTCCGTGAGTCGAAGAACCTCCGTGTGTCCGAGCAGGTTGCCCCCAAACTCCAGCAGGAACGCCAGCCACATGATGAGATCCAGCAGCAGGTCCACAATGTTCAACCAGTCGCTCACAAACGCTTTCTTTGAAGGTGAAGTCAGAAAGCGGGCAATCATGTCCATACTGAAGAAGGCAAGACACACGATCTCCGTGTAGTTGATCCACACAGCCGTGTCCGTGCTGAGAATCAGATCCAGCTTCTTGATCGTCCTGTTGCCCTTGGTCAGTTCCGGTAGCCCAAGCCGCAGTGACGGGATGGTCCCGAGCATCACAGCCACCGTGATGACCACTACCATCGTCATTTTTGCGGCGTTCCATAGCTTTAGAAGAAGACAAAACACTTGAATACAGTACGTGGGACAGGACGTTTGGCAAAACAACATTTGTCGTGTGTATGTTTGTGTGAGAGCAGGCTTTGACGTGTGGAGGTGTAAGGAAGAAGATGCAGCTGTGATAGTGTGACGATGGGCATGCTAGGCCTAATTGGTGATAGTATAAGAAAGTAGATGGATCCGTGAAAATGTGCGCGTATGCTGTTGGTGTTTGTGTGAGAGCATGGAGGGATGTGTGAAGCTGTACGCGAAGGATGCATAGACAGATGGGGTTCAGGGCCGCTAGAGTGAAGATAAGTTGAGTAGGTAGTTAGATGGGATTCTGGCAAGATCGGTAGTGTGAAGATGTGTAAATAGGGTTGGGAGTTAGATGGGATTCTGGCGCGGTCGGTAGTGTGAAGATGTGTAAATAGGGTTGGGAGTTAGATGGGATTCTGGCACGGTCGGTAGTGTGAAGATGTGTAAATAGGGTTGGGAGTTAGATGGATTCTCTGGCGCGGTCGGTAGTGTGAAGATGTGTAAATAGGGTGGGAGTTAGATGGGATTCTGGCGAGGTCGGTAGTGTGAAGATGTGTAAATAGGGTTGGGAGTTAGATGGGATTCTGGCAAGGTCGGTAGTGTGAAGATGTGTAAATAGGGTTGGGAGTTAGATGGGATTCTGGCAAGGTCGGTAGTGTGAAGATGTGTAAATAGGGTTGGGAGTTAGATGGGATTCTGGCGCGGTCGGTAGTGTGAAGATGTATAAATAGGGTTGGGAGTTAGATGGGATTCTAGCGCGGTCGGTAATTGTGAATATGTGCAAGTAAGGTCCAGGTTTCAGCGAGGCCCAGGATGTTGTGTTGTGAGGGCTGAGCCGGATGGTTGCGATGATGGGACTGGGACGTTACGATGGTGGGAAGGTCCTGCTGTGTGATGGCGAAGAACAGGGTCGGATGTGTGTATGCGGGCAGATATTATGGTTTGCTGGATCGACAACTGCATGATTGTAAATGATATATGAGGGTAGGGGTGGGGTAAGGGGGTGTTGTAAGGGAGTGGCTGGGAAGTGTGTGTGATTGGCAGTGAGGCGAGAAGAGGGTGTATGATCATGTGTGGGCAGAAGCCAGGTTCGCCTATGTGTGATAGTGTGGAGGCCTCGCGAATGCAGCTTCATCTATGCTTTGATGGCAACAGTACTGGGCAATGTGAATGATGGTGTGAATGCATGTTCGTGTGATTTGATGGGGACAATACTGATGCCTGTTTGATGGTGTGTGCATTGATGGTAACGTTTCTGGATTGTGTGTGTGTGTGATATTGGCAGTACTGGGTCGTGTGTGTAATAGTGACAATACTGGGTCGTGTGTGTGGTGGTGACAATACTGAGTCGTGTGTGTGGTAGTGACAATACTGGGCCGTGTGTGTGATAGTGACAGTACTGGGTCGTGTGTGTGATGGTGACAGTACTGGGACGTGTGTGTGATGGTGACAATACTGGGTCGTGTGTATGATAGTGACAGTACTGGGTCGTGTGTGTGATGGTGACAATACTGGGTCGTGTGTGTGATGGTGACAGTGCTTTGGTCGTATGTGATGGTAACAGTACTGGGTCATGTGAGTGCGTGCCTCTCCAATTGATACCAGATATTCATAACGGTCACAGCTGTAGCTTCTACACAAAAACCCATAGTACACAACATAGAGAGGTAGAGGTTATAGGTTACAGCTGTAGTTTCTACATATTAAACAATGGTACACAACATGGAGAGGTAGAGGTTATAGGTTACAGCTGTAGTTTCTACATACAAAACAATGGTACACAACATGGAGAGGTAGAGGTTCTAGGTTACAGCTGTAGTTTCAACATATTAAACAATGGTACACAACATGGAGAGGTAGAGGTTATAGGTTACAGCTGTAGTTTCTACATACAAAACAATGGTACACAACATGGAGAGGTAGAGGTTATAGTTACACATATATAAAACAATGGTGCACAATATGGAGAGGTAGGTTATAGGTTTTACACATAGGTTAGGTAACACTGTAGTTTCAACATATAAACAATGGTACACAACACAGTAGGTAGAGGTTATAGGTTTAGTTTTCTACATTAAACAAAACAACATGGAGAGGTAGAGGTTATAGGTTACATGGTACACAACATGGAGAGGTAGAGGTTATAGGTTACAGCTGTAGTTTCTACATATTAAACAATGGTACACAACAGGTAGAGGTTATAGGTTACAGAGAGGTAGAGGTTATAGGTTACAGCTAGTTTCTACATACAAAACAATGGTACACAACATTAGAGGTTATAGGTTACAGCTGCAGTTTCTACATATTAAACAATGGTACACAACATGGAGAGGTAGAGGTTATAGGTTACAGCTGTAGTTTCTACATATTAAACAATGGTACACAACATGGAGAGGTAGAGGTTATAGGTTACAGCTGTAGTTTCTACATACAAAACAATGGTACACAACATGGAGAGGTAGAGGTTATAGGTTACAGCTGTAGTTTCTACATATTAAACAATGGTACACAACATGGAGAGGTAGAGGTTATAGGTTACAGCTGTAGTTTCTACATATTAAACAATGGTACACAACATAGGGAGAGGTAGAGGTTATACACAACAGCTGCTAGTTTTCTACATACAAAACAATGGTACACAACATGGAGAGGTAGAGGTTATAGGTTACAGCTGTAGTTTCTACATATTAAACAATGGTACACAACATGGAGAGGTAGAGGTTATAGGTTACAGCTGCAGTTTCTACATATTAAACAATGGTACACAACATGGAGAGGTAGAGGTTATAGGTTACAGCTGCAGTTTCTACATATTAAACAATGGTACACAACATGGAGAGGTAGAGGTTATAGGTTATTAAAACAACAGTTATAGGTTACAGCTGTAGTTTCTACATATTAAACAATGGTACACAACATGGAGAGGTAGAGGTTATAGGTTACAGCTGCAGTTTCTACATATTACATAGGTAGAGGTTATAGGTTACAGCTGCAGTTTTACAAAACAATGGTACACAACATGGAGAGGTAAAGTTTATAGATTACAGCTGTAGTACATACAAAACAATGGTACACAACATGGAGAGGTAAAGTTTATAGAGTACATCTGTAGTTTCTACATACAAAACAATGGTACACAACACAGAGAGGTAGAGGTTATAGGTTACAGCTGCAGTTTCTACATATTAAACAATGGTACACAACATGGAGAGGTAGAGGTTATAGGTTACAGCTGTAGTTTCTACATATTAAACAATGGTACACAACATGGAGAGGTAGAGGTTATAGGTTACAGCTGTAGTTTCTACATATTAAACAATGGTACACAACATGGAGAGGTAGAGGATATAGGTTACAGCTGTAGTTTCTACATATTAAACAATGGTACACAACATGTAGAGATAAGGGGAAACAAGTCAATAGTCCAGAAAGAATGATTTTATTTAACATGCAGGGAGAGTTCCATAGAAAAACCGTGACGTAAAGGGTATTACGTTTGTTGAAAGGGTGACTAAATGGTACAAGCATTAGGAGAAAAATGTACCTTTTGTAGTACAATTCACAATGAAAAGGAAGACACAATTAACGTTTCTCATACAACATTGCTATTGATCTCCGCGAAATTGGATTTCTGTATACTTTCCGTGAAAGAGATTCCGTCCTATCTACAAGATCGCATTATCATTCATGACAATCGCAGTTTACCTTGATAAAACCTTGGTGAATAAGAATCCTCCCACGTTCTACACTGGCTATTGTCAGATGGCCGAGAAGTCCCGATGGCACCATCAAATAAAAGTAATTATTTCAATGTCAAGCCGGACCCCGTCATCATATTGATGGATATGAGTTAGTTTTCTAGGCGGCAAACAGACCTGGTGATTGTCTTAAAAGAAATACTGGCGTTCACCGACTAAAGTACTGTCGGAAATTAAAAAAAAAGTTTTTAGGTGTTACTCTGTATCCCTAAAGGTTACACAACTGCAAGTAGCATATGTTGAAATAACCAACTCGGCCTAACTGGGCGTTCAGTGGGATGTGTAATAGGATATCCACAAATGCATGTTTACTGGTAAAATCGGGCAAAACTTAGAAAAAGTACGAATAGCTGCTAAAAATAATAGATCAGACTATAGATGGCAATTAGGTCGCTCAGCCAGGTATGACGACGGTCCGTCGACTCACCTGGCATGAAATGCATGTGCTGCCTACAGGCACAAGGGGTCATCTCAAAGATATTTTATGTTTTTTTCATGTGTATTAAACATGTTTCATATATTGAATATCATCTTACGTGTCTTTCATAAGGTTTATGTTGAGATATCAGGCGCGTAGCAAGCCAAATGTTTTCGTGTAAGCCCGATAGGTTGTAAAGCTTTATATTTAGATAGTATTGAGGGCTATCCCAAACTGTTTGGCAGCAATCATGTGTAAGCCCGGGGCTTTTTTTATAATGGTAACTACGCCCCTGGATATGTAAACGAATATAATACCCATAGAAAAGCTTAAATCTACTATCGTATTAAATGTCTCAAAATATATAGGTGGCAAGACCACCCCAAGATCGACAGGACTGGATATTATTTGTTAATTGTTAAGACATGCCGTGTACTTCCCCCTGTTTAATTCTTCTAAAGGATTATCTTATCTTAGCTGATATCTCTATCCCCCAGTACGACCCCAACCATCGTCTGTGAAACTCGTCCTGGTTTTGCTTTTGAGACGACCCCTCCAAACTGTTTCTTTTTATAGTGATATTGAGGCTCCATGGTAGCTACATCCTTAATAATTTCAGTATTAAAGTTAGTATTTTTTACGTCAGCTATCGTTTGTAATGAAGCTAAGTCTAGTTTCAAAATAGGCATTTAAAAAGTGTCCTTTGAAATACAATATCATCGCACACTAATTTGCATAAAGTGATGGTCTGTTCCAAATAAGTCGCTTTGGACTTATAACCGCATTGCTCATTT